ATCACGTTCGGTTCTTTGGTTCTTCCCCAATTTCGTTGAATCGTTGCTACTTGCTGTCGCTGAATTGCTGCTCGCTGAGTCGTTGTTGGCCTGTTGGTCTCACACTCTCACTCTCGCTATCGCCCATCGCACCAAAAATCAGGTATGAAATCCCGAATCTTGTTCTTTCTTTTCCAGTTCACTTGTTCTTTGTTCTGAATTCTGATTGAATGTTGTGATGCACGCCTGCACTGTTGCTGCTGTTGCCTGTTTGCGAGTTACTCCTCTTTTCTCTCAATCTCTCGGTCCAAACTCCAAATTAGGGGTTAGAATTTCTCCTATCAATTTGTCAATTTGGTTTATCTGATTTGGTGTAGGAATTAGGATAGTAGGATTCTAGAATTTCTCCTGTCAATTTGTCAATTTCTCCTGTTTGCACTGTTGCTGCTGTTGCCTCCTGTTTGCATTGTTGCTGCTGTTGCCTTCTAGTATATTTATTCTAGACAGTGGACACCAAGCTGGAAGTATGGAATAGAAAAAAAAATTGATTTTTTTATGCTTCAAACAAAACTGATTAACTGAAAACAAATATGGATGAAAACCTTAGACTATTTTTATAAAATTGATTTGGTTGTCAATTTGTCAATTTGATTTGGCTGTCAATTTGTCAATTTGATTTGGTTTTACTTTTCAGTTTTCACACACTGCTAATTGTTAAATGAGTTATTGATTATTGTTCTAATTTTGATTTTGATTGAATCAATTGTTCCTTCATTTTGATTTTTATAGATATAATCATGGGAAAGATGAAAACCTTAGACTATTTTTACAAAAGAAAGGCAGATGATAAAGAAACTAATCATGAAAGTGAAGAGAGTAAACGTCACAAAGCTTCAACAAGTGAGCCACAACCGCAAGAAACGGAAAATCAACAAGAGAATGAGCCACAACCGCAAGAAAAGGATAAACAACAAGAGAATGAGCCACAACCACAAGAAAAGGAAAATCCTAATGAAGTTGATTTGAAGAATCTAGAAAGAGATCCCGCTAAACGAAAGCAAATGTGGGATTATCCGGTTAATTTAAGATAACAAGTGAGTCGAGCTTATATGAATTTAGGACCTTTCCAAATACATCTTAAGGAGTATCAAGCTAAAGGTTCAACAAAACATCCTCGTAGATTCAAATATTCTTGGTTCAACATTTTCCCTAATTGGCTAGAATATTCTCCAACAACACACGCTTCTTATTGTTTATTTGTTATATATTTAATGATAAACCAAGTGTGTGTCATGGTTACGATGCATTTACTGTTAAAGGATTTGACAATTGGAAAGAAGTTAATGACAGGAAAAATTGTGCGTTCTTGAAACATATTGGTTGCTCACAACATAGAAATGCTGTTGCATTTGTTGAAAACTTGATGAACCAAGCAGCACACATTGAAAATATCATAGTGAAGCAAAATGAAGCGCAAATATTGAAGAACCGTTTACGCTTAAAAGTGTCAATTGACATAGTTCGTTGGTTGACCTTCCAAGCTTGTGCTTTACGAGGACATGATGAAACTCTTGATTCCAAAAATCGTGGTAATTTTCTCCAACTTCTAAAACTTCTAGCATCGTATAATGATGAAGTTGCAAACGTTATATTAGAGAAAGCTCCTTATAATTCAAAGTATACTTCTGCGGACATTCAAAAAGAAATTCTTAGTATTATTGCAAATAAAGTTCGAAAGCATATTCGTAGTGAAGTGGGGGATTCATACTTTTGTGTGATGGTTGATGAGTACGGGATGAGTCTAAAAAAGAGCAAATGGCGATAGTTTTGAGATTTGTTGATGTGGAAGGAATCATACGGGAAAGGTTCTTGGATTTGGTTCATGTTAGGGATACCTTATCATTAACCTTGAAAACAAATATGTGGAAACAACTTTTACACTATCAATTTGATGTTAGTAAAATCCGTGGCCAAGGTTATGATGGTGCTAGTAATATGAGAGGGGAATGGAACAGATTACAAGCACTTGTTCTTGAGGATTGTCCTTATGCATATTATGTTCACTGCTTTGCTCACAGATTGCAACTAGCCTTGGTGGCTGCTTCAAGGGAAATTATTCTGGTTCACCAGTTTTTCACAAACTTAATTTTTACAATTAACGTAGTTTGTGCTTCCAGTAAGCGTCATGATGAGTTACAAAAAGCAAAGACAACTGAGATTGAACAGTTATTGGAACTAGGTGAAATCGAATCAGGTAAAGGATTGAATCAAGTTGGGACATTAAGAAGAGCTGGTGATACACGTTGGGGTTCTCATTTTCGTTCCGTTTGTAGTTTGCTTAACATGTTTGCTTGTACTCGTGTTGTTCTCCAAGGAATAATTGATGACGTATCTGCTACTTATTCTCAACGCGGAGATGCTGATGCAGCTTACTGTTATCTGAAATCATTTGAGTTTGTGTTTATTCTTCACCTGATAAAGGAAGTAATGGGAAAAACTGAAATACTTTCTCAAGCTCTACAAAAGAAATCCCAAGATATTCTTAATGCCATGGAGTTAGTTTCAGCAACAAAGGAGGGTCTAAATGATTTTAGAAACAAAGGATGGGAGTCTTTACTTGCACAAGTAAAGTTTTTTTGTGAAAAACATCAAATAAATATGCCAGATATGAATGCTCCATATACTTCTACTCGATACCGGCCTCGAAAAACAGACAATCATGTTACTTTTGAACATTTTTATCGAGTGGATTTGTTTACAGCCACATTGGACAAACAGTTACATGAGTTGAATAGTAGATTCAATGATCGGGCGATGGAGTTGTTGAGACTTAGTTCTACTTTAGTTTCTAAAGTGATTAACGTTGATCAAATTTGTCTTCTTGTTGAGAAGTATTATCCTGAAGATTTTACGGAGCAAGAGAGGATTCAATTACGATATCAATTGGAGATTTTTAATATTGATATCACAAAGAATCCCAGACTAAGTGGTGTATCAACTATTGCTGACCTATGCAACCGTCTTGTGGAAACTCAGAAACGTGAGACATACTATTTGCTTGATAGAGTGGTTCGGTTAATCTTGACACTTCCAGTTTCTACCGCAACAACAGAGAGGGGATTTTCAGCAATGAAAATATTCAAGAACCGTCTTCGCAATAAGATGTCAGATGATTTTCTCGCAAACAACTTGGTGATTTACATAGAAAGAGAAATTGCTGAAAACATTGATTCGAAGTCTATAATTGATGAATTTAAAGACATTAAAGGTCGTCGGGCTGAGTTGTAGGTGTTTTTGGTGTTTATTTGTTCAAAACAATTTGTTTTTTTAAGAACGTTAATTTCAATTTATAATACTTTCGCCCCCCCCCCCCTAGTTAATTGTTCAAGCTTCGCCACTGGCTTATACTAAAGAAAATATTGGATTTTCTTGGAAACATACGGACATTTTACAAGATACATCAACAAGTTTTCACTACAAAACATAGCTTATGAACTCACCAGCTTTATGTTGATACTCTTTCAAAACTGCTTGTATTCTTAGGAAATCAGTAGACAGGTACCTTCCGGAGTTCTGAGAAGATGAAGAATATGGAATCATGTCTTTTTATTTTGCTTATACTTCGATGTATGGAAACAAATTAAACAGATGTAAACCCTTTTCATATACGTATTCAATGTAATGGTTGTGTTTACTATGATTGCTATGATACAATTGTTGTGATACTACAAATGACGTCTTCCACCCCTGAACGTTTCCGCCGTTCCGGTTTGGGGGTGTGACTACGCTCGGCGTATAAAAAGTTACGCTTAGCGTAGGCACCTGATGTCCAACTTTTCATTTCTTAACATATAAGGTCAGCCCCCCAAACTTTCAAATCTATAGTAAAAGGACGTCTTAATGGATAAATTATTTGACTTTATCTATTTGTATGCTTACAAAGAGCACAAAACCAAACGCTAGGTCCATAAAGTTCAGACTCATGCATGGATGATGAGAGTGACCAAGCTCCCATTTTTATGACTTTACAATCCCAAAAACGTTTGGGAATGACACTCAAATGGTTTGGAATAGCTCATTCTCACATAGACCAAGGTTATGGGGACAAAAACATATGAATCTCAAGAGTAACTAGATCCAACATGAAAACTCATAAAGATAGAAACTTTATACCTTATGGAGGAGGATTATGGGATGCAAATTCCAGATCTACAAAGCTTGAAGCTCCCAAGTGCTTCCCCAAACACTCTAAGATCTCAAAACTCTGACAAGATGGCTAGGGTTTTGTGGTGACTGCTTAAGAGGGTGGAGGTTGAGCATGGAGAGGGTCGCAAGGAGTTAGAGCCTTTAAATAGGGCTCACAACCCTTAGGGTTAAGGTTTTTGTCCATCGCACCTATGTTCGGCGTAGCTTTTCCTACGCTCAGCATAGGTCATAAAATCCCCACATCCAACTTCCCACCTATGCTCAACGTAGGGGACTATCCTACGCTCAGCGTAGGGTAGAATTTCGCAAATTAACTTTAGACAAATAATAATACCTATAAGAATCGGGTATTACAACGGGTACACATTAGTTTTCTAAATTGATTCATTAATGTGAGATATATCATTTAATGTTGAATATGTATGACAACTTACCAACTAAACAATAAATATGTCATGTCATCTACTGATTTAAAATAACTGGTTTATCATAAGATCAAAGATCAAAGATGTGATTTGAACAAATGAATATAAAGACAATAATTGACTATATTTTTTGTACTTCTTAAACTTGAGTGACGTTTTTAAACATTTTTAATATTTAATTACCCGTTAGTCATTTTTCAAAAATTTAGTCTTTCCCTCAATGGCTAGACCACTTAGATGGCATTTTTAAAATTTGTAATCCTGTTGAATTATATCCGAAAAATTCGTTAATTATTTAGACAGTTGCCAAAAACAATTATGGTGGAAATTAAGATTTCGAAATGGATTAGTTTTAGTATTTTAATATTGAAAAGCCCCACACCTATCATGAAACGAATGGAGCATTTTAAGTTGACTTCAATGGCTTCCGAATCCGATCATCACATAACTCCATCAAAACCGTTCTTCGCCACAACTTTGTTGGTCGTCACATTCTCATAGCAGTTTCTTCTTTTTACCCAAACCCTTTTCCCCATTTTCGCCTCGTTCAGTTTTTGTTTATATCCAAGTTAGGGTTTTTGGGATCTGGAATCATTAAGTTGTCGCGATCTCATCCTAATAAAACCCTAATCTTGGACCAAAGGATTTACGTCTTATTCTTTTCTTTTCCCAAAATTGCGGATTTCCCCTGTTTCAGTAATCATGTTTCTTATTTTCCATACATTCGATCGATTTGCTTATCTCGCGTATTTCATCCGTATATGAATATCTATACAAACGTATACATATTCCTATAACTGTATATTGCTGTGTACAACAATAATTCCTATAACTTTATATTGCTGTATACAACAATAACTTTGGAGGCATGAAGCATTCAAAAAAGAAGAAGAGGCCTAGACCTCCGGTTCCGAAGACGAAGCAATCGGCTGAATGTGAAAACCCTGCCCCTGGTCAGATTGATGACCAATCTAGGGTTTTGAACGATTTGACAGAAGGAATTGCTTCCTTCTCCATAGAAGAAACCATTGAGAATTTAACTGAAACAACTTCGAATTCAAGTGCTAATAGGGACGATGATTCTGCCGAAAGTTTTGGAAATTCGACTGAGACTTCTAGTTCAAGTGGAAGCTATGCTTTATCGAATTGTGATGGTTATAATCATAGGATTGGAGGCAAGGTTAGTAAGGGACATAGGGGGAATAAAGTGATAGCTGCAACTGGAATGGTGTCAACTGTATTGGGGAAGGATTATGTGAAGAGAAGAGGGGTTTCTAAATGGAAGGGATTTGCTGATGAAGGTGCCAGCCATGAAGATGCTGAACAGTTTTTGTGCTCGATGCTTAGTGATGATTGTGAATTGGGCATGGATTTGGTCAAGGACGTACTTTGTGAGCATTTTTTTGTTTATAATAATTTATGCAGCTTATTCTTTGATTTATGATTGTTTAATATATATACTCATTTCTCTAATGAAGAATCTATTTGTTATTTGGCAGGTCAGACTGCTTATGATGTTGAAAAGGTAATTTTTGTCATTTTCAAGCACATTTTTGCTTTTTTGCATTAGTTTTTGTGGTCATCTTGGCTCTAGATTAATCCATCTTGTAGTATATATTTGAAACCAAAATTAACAATGTAAAACTTTAGTTGGACATAATTACCAATGTTTTTTTTGAATAAATATGTGTTTTCTTTATGGTGATGTTTGTGTAATATTATATTGTCTTCAGGCATTGGACATACTGCTTGAATTAACTGCTTCTTCATCTGAACTTCCCAATAGTGGTCAACCTCACACCTCAAACACACAAAGTAAAGATAATAGGGCTCCTCTAGAAGCAAGTTACAATGTAAGTAACATGTTCTTCGTGTATATTTGAAACAGATTTTTGAAATTATACATTTGCCAATGAATTATCATTATCTAGTGTACATTTGCAAGTTGGTTTACAAGTCTACATGTTGTCTTCTTTATTGATGAATTGGAAGAACATATATCTATAGTGGAGTAATCGGGTTCCTCCATTGTTATTTAGAAGTTGGAGGTAAAAAGTATTATATGAACTAGTAGACATTGGTAATCATTAGTTGGTGTTCCTTTTTAACTAATCCAGACAACACTTAATGGCTTTAGATATGGATCATGTGAAAATGATACATGATCACCATGAGTTTTGACAGAAATTGTAGATGGTAAATTAATATATTCTTGTGGCTATGATATCTTTATGACAGTTAACAAATAGGACTTCAGACTTAGCTTCATCATCTAAGAGTGATCTTCACAGTAATATATCATATACTGGCTGTAATGGCAGGTAAGAGGTTCTGACTGATTATCTATATTACTTTCTTTTGTAGTGATATCAGATGATTTTGGTGTTAATAAAATCTACCCAAATATACACATAACTGATGTCATGAAAAGTAATCCAACAACTAAAATCAACCATATGTGTATTCCTTTTAGGAATTATTTCGATGTTCTTGCTAATAATTGTGGAAGTGGTCCCCCACCTGGCCCAAAAACATCCTCTGAACTGACCCAAGATGTGTTGGAATCTCTTTTCTATACACGAAAGAGTTCAAAACATGAGCCAGGAAGCATGAACTGGAGGAATGTAGTAAAAAAGATGGAGTCTTTTGGGCAGATGCTTGATTATCCTTCAGAAGCTAATGACACAACCAAAAAGCAGCATGTTTTTGGTAACCAAAATTTTGTTATATCTGTTCAAAATTCAAACCAATTGTTTTAACTGGTAACTAACTTGTGTTTGTGTGGTGTATAGCTAAAGGGGATGATTATCATAACTATAGGAATACTGCAAGCCAGCATTGGGATTCAATGAAGTCCTACTATCACAAGGCATTTTTTTTTTTTGGGCATCACTTTTTAGGGTTTTGATTATTCTGGTTTTATTTAAGATGAGCTTTGTATTGTCCAGGCTGCAACTGCATATGCAAGTGGAAAACGGGAATACGCAGCATATCTCTCAGATCAGGTATTAAATGGAATCCATGTAACTTAGTTTAAATAAATGGAATTTTAAAAAATTGCTACAAAACCTTTATGATTCCAGATAACAAAATAATAAAATTTGATGCAGGGAAGGATGTGTAATGAAAAGGCTCGACAAGCAGATGAAAGGGCAGGCCATGATATATTTGATTCAAGGTTTGTGACACTGAAAGAAAATGGACCTATTTCTATTTGATCCGTTTGATGACATTTATGTAAATAGATTGAGTAGTTGGGTATAATATAATAATAGAATGGAATGGAATATTATGCAGGAACAAGACGTTTGAGAATGTGATAACAATTGATCTGCATGGACAACATGTGAAACAAGGGATGAAGCTTTTAAAACTCCACCTATTATTTGGGGCATATGTTCGTTGTAAGCAAACCAAACCAAACCAAACCAAACCAAAAGCATCATCTATTATTGTTTCTTCACTTTCTAATTGTTTTTTAATCGTTATAAATCTTTCTAATGACATTTTTTTTTGATTGTGTGATGTACAGCTGTTTGGGTGTTTAGAGTTATCACAGGATGTGGGAGTCACGGACTAGGGAGGTCAAAGCTTAAACAGTCGGTATGAGTTATGAAATTATCATATATTTCTTTTTTTCTTCAATCATAGTATTTGGGATTTGTTTTAAGATGTGAGTGAGATGGTTTTTGTAGGTTGTTACTTTGTTGGAAACAGAAAACATAGATTGGAAAGAAGAAAACAGAGGGACTTTGCTAATCAAACTTAATGGGCAGAGAGAGTTCAGCTTCTTGGACTCTGGGAGTGACTCAGAGTAACCATTTTACTTGAATGTTGTATGTTATGTTGAAAGAAAAAACAAAGATATTAATTATGAAATTGTAAAGTAACCTAAGGTGGTTAGTTGGTCCGGTTTTAGACTCAGGCTCAGGATTAGTTGTAAATTGAGCTAGTCCTTTTTATTTTATCTTTTTGTGTATTCATGCATTAACTTGAATGTCAGGAAATCTTTTTTGTTACATCTTCTGTCATCATGTTTTATGCACATTTACACACAACAGAGGTAATACTTATGTTTACGTGGCAAATGAGCTTTTAAAACTTAATACCTGTCTTTTATTTGCTATATATTGGAATATTACATATTTCTCCCTCCAAATCAATTCAGTTGATTCTTTAGGGTTATTGCAAAGAGAATCAAATAGTATCTTTTCATCAAACCATAGAAGCTAGAATATGGAAGTCCGGTTCAAATACAACTCTACATATAGATGTAAATGTGGGAAGGAATCTAAAATACTGTTTTTATAGATGACGTTTGGTTAATAAAAATATCTTGCAATGTCATCCGTTACTTTTAGGTGTAAAATGTCATGCGTTGCAAGTCTTTAAGATTTATTTTGAAGTAATATAGTAATTGCATATCTATAGCCAATAGGTGGAACATGCCGGACAATACATGTGAATTCCTAAGAGTTGGGCTTTTGTATATAGACTAACTACATCATTGCCTTTTCCATGATTAGATGATGCATTTTGTCAATGGATCTCTGAAATTTAGGCTCCATTCATTTTGTGGCTCCTCATTTATTTGGTGGTAGAAGAGGAATAATGGGTTCCATTTACTTGGAGGAGAAATGAAGTCCTACTATCACAAGGCAATTTGATTTTGTTGTATCGATTTTGGGATTTTGGTTATTGTTCTCTCTTTAAAGATGAGCTTTCATATTGTGGCTCATATATCTAGATCAGCTTCATATAAATCACCTTTCTGTTACAATAAATTCAAGTAACTATGTTTAAATACAATTATAGAAAATTTCTAAGATACACAAAGAACAAGTTACTTACAATGACACCAATTATAAGAAAAAAAAAATCATGGCGATCATGCATCATTTTCAAGCACGCACATGGTCTGTATTTAAAATCTTTAGAATGCAAAGTCAAATAATTTCAAAGGTACACAAAGAACAAGTTACTTACACTGTCACTTGCTTTTAGAAGAGCCATAATATCTTTATTGTATGTGTATAAGTTGTGATGTTAATCACTCTTGGAACGCTCAGTTAATTTTCTTCTACAAGTCAAAGTTGTCGCTGTAAACTTTCTAAAATTTCTGCACCAGCATTGTCTTCCTTTATGGAGAATGAAACAGTTCCTTCTGCCATACTGTTCAAACCCTAGATTGGTCATCAATCTTACAGGTTTAGGTTTTGACTTTGAAAACTGGAGACCTCAGTCTCTTCTTTTCTTTGGATGCTTCATACTTGTCAAGTTATTGTTACATAGAGCACTATAGCTATAGGATCAGCAATTTTGTATATGTTTCTATGGAGGAGTTACGGTGCTCTTTAAGGTTGAAATACTATCACCATATTGATCCCCTTAACTGAATCAGCTGAAGCAATGGCTTCGAGTTCAGCCATGTCTTCTAGTGTTAGCCTCACAGATAGAGCTACTATGTTCTATTCAAGATTCTCTATCTTGGTGTGGTGTTAGTTTTAATTTTTTTTACCATAATAACTCTGATTTTAATGATACCAATATATGTATATTTATAAGCTCTCTCTCATCTCGTTTTTACCACAAACAAATGTTCATTCCATTGCGTGATATTAAGCAAGAAGTTCACTTCAAAAGTTTGGTTAAAACTTGAGCCCGATACATAGCATGAACATCTCTTAAAACAAGAAAACTAGTATCATTAAAGAAAAACATGAAACCTAAAACATAAAGATTATTGTTATTAATTATTATTATTATTATTATTATAGTGGTAGTTCACCGCTATCAGCAATTGTTACTTTTGCTTTTGGCGATCCACTTTGTGTCCCCTCAGCTTCCATCTTGTAAACAATATCCATACCAGACAACACCTTTCCAAATACAACATGTTTACCATCCAACCTGACAATAATAAATTAAGATTATATCCTCTAATTAACCATATAAATCAAAAGATATTAATTATGCTAATTAGTAATTACCAGCTGGTTGTCACAGTTGTGATGAAGAATTGTGAACCATTTGTGTTTTTTCCAGCATTTGCCATTGACAAAAGTCCTGCAAAGTTACATTTATTTATATGTTTTTGTAATTTGACGATTAATTTATTGTACTATTCTTTCTCATTAATTAGATTTTACCTGGTCCAGTATGCTTGATCTTGAAGTTTTCATCCTTGAACTTTTCACCATAGATTGATTCTCCTCCCGTGCCATCTCCATTAGTAAAATCACCACCTTGAATCATGAAACTGGGAATAATCCTGTGGAATGCACTTCCTTTATAGTAAAGAGGCTTCCCGCTTTTTCCAATTCCTTTCTCCCCTGAGATGATTCATGAATCCCAACAAAAATAAAAATATCAAAAAGAAGAGTTTTTTTTTTTTTTGGAAGTTAGAAGAACATAGCATCAGCATACCAGTGCACAAAGCTCTGAAGTTTTCTGCTGTTTTGGGAACTGTTTTACCAAAGAGACCAAAAACAATTCTTCCTGAAAAACCAAGTGAATATAATCTTTTAAATATATCGCATATACATGATTGATGTATGATTATGATGCTTTAAGATGTCATAACCCATGAGTTGAAATTACAAGGATAAAGTATGGCATACCGGCTGGTTTTCCAGCAATCTCAACATCAAAATATACTTTGTTAGTCACTTCTGTTAAATCTTTGTTTGACTTCTTAGCCTGCATACAATGTGAAATCCAAATTTCAGAAAGAATCAAATATGGTCTGTGGGTGGTTAGATAATGAAGCATGAGAATTTCAGATGAACCAAAAAAAATGAACAATTGTAGTCTAAAATCTCATATTTCTTGCTTACACAAACAGGCATATAAGAATTCAGATTCCAAAACAATATGATATCTATGAAACATGATCAACACTTATCACATTAACTGTTTGACAATAATCAATAGCCAACGGTATACCCAAAGACCAAATTGGACGCAGTACAAGCATAACTAAAACTTCAAGACCTTTAATTTTTGACATTCAAACCTAGTAATCTTCTCAACACATATCTTATCATGTTTCAGCTCCAAAAATTGTCTATGATGATTCCTTTTTGTAGTTCATGTAATTATCAATTCAACACACTAAAGCAACAATCCTCAACCCAGTTGCCACTTCAAAGACAAGACAAAAACAACACTTTAATTTTCGGGTGAATAAAGTAAAAGCAATCGTACTAAACGATTATCCTCCAGATCAAACAATCAATTTAAACATAGCGGATGAAACAATGATCTAAAAAAAACGAAACGAATCGATTCGCATCAAACAGATCCATTACAATATAGCCGAGACAACAAAATTCAGATAGATCAAATCAACAAACCCTGAGAGATCATAGATCGCTTTAATGATCAACTAAACCCTAACAACAAATGTCGCAACAGGAAGAGATATTGAATAAAATTTAAGAGCTAAAACATTACCTCAGTGAGAGCTAGGGCTCCTATGAGAAGCAGAGAGCATAGAATTGCAGCCGATAGTAACTTCATTTTCGCGACTGTGTGTTTGCAGTGCGTTCGACGGAGTTAGCCGACTGAGCCGTCGTGAGGTTTATATAAATAGGAAAGTGAGGTATTTTAAGCAAATAAGATGATGACACGTTGTTCATTGACGTGGTTTCTAGGTAGTTGATTGGTTCAAATACACTATGTTCAAAGAGCGTCACAATGACATGTTAACTTTTAATCTTTAGTGTAAAACGGTGTCGTATCCATATAACGGGTTGAGAAATTGTCCGATGAGCTACGAAATGGGCTAACACATATACGAATCGAAAGAAGACGACCACCACCATATACCTAATGCAGTAAGTTTTAATGTCTTTTATACGTTTTTACGTTTGCATTTGTTATTTAATAAGTATAAATATATTTGTAAAAATCATGTTATCTATATCTGATGCACAATTTGAGCGGCTCAAACACTCCTCTATCATGATCCTTGGCGCTTCTATAAGCTTTCTGCTGTGAGGACAACGCAAGCGTCCTTGAAGACATAAACCTAACGGCAACCTACTATGGACTCATGATCTGACCAATCCGTAAATTCTCTACGACCATGGAGGACTCTGACGGATCCTTAAGAAATGCAACGAGAAGACTTCCTAACCACGAGTAGTTCAATGGTAGCCCACATTTCTTTGCTTATGCAACAATAAAACCTTAATCAAAACCTCGCACACTTTAACCGTAGATTCCCTTGACCATTACATTGAACCTACAAAATCAAACAAACCGATAATCCTCCAAGCAGAATACCCAGTTCCCCCTACTTAGGGTTCGAACTACAACCAACTAACGTCTACAAACAACAAAGCCTCGACCCACTCAACAAGATACATACCCACCTTGACTTTTAGAATGCATAACACAACACAAGGTGATCCTTCGAATAATAACCAAACAAATCTCAAAGAAACTCTGAATCTAAGATGGAGACCTCGGAAACCTTCCCAAGCATCTCCGCCTCAATCTTAGCGAAATCGATCAGAATACATTTGATTGACGAGGCACCTTACGAACTGAACTTTGCGCAATCAAAACTTGTATTTGAAGAATTTATCCATAACCTCATCCTCCTCTGAAGCTTCAAGAATCCCTTGCAGATGCTTAAATAATAGCTCCGACAAACTCAGCCTATCAATAAAACTCTCCTTTCCGAATCCAGAACATCTCGATGCCTCCTCGGATACACCCAATTTTCTCAAAACCGCGTCACATATAGACAAAAATAAAGATTAAATGTCAACATAATAAAAAACAATGTATTTCAGATTGTAAGTAAGGCCGGATGAATTTGGTAAGTAAAAAAGAACATCTTTTAAATTACATTTTGAAACACTTCTTTGTATATATCATTTGACGTTTTATTGGTTAAATTACAATTTTTATCTAAAATCAATAACTTCAATCATTATATGCTCACTTTATGGATAAAGCAACATATAACTTACCGTGTGAGAAATTTGATTCTTGTAAAAAAAAAAAT